GGGGGGCTATAAATGAAATTGAAAGTGGATTGGAGAATCGGTGTCCTTTACGACCTGGTCCTTTGAACTTCAATCGAATTGCACCAATTAAATTTCTGAGGAGTCAAAAATAATAATTTTGGATGGAACACTTGGATTGGAACCCTCGCGATAAAGAGAACTCGTTAATTTTTGTTTCCTAATGACTTTTGGTTATCTTACGTGTAATTGCAATAAAAATTCGCGATCGAGGTTGATTATAATAATTTTTATTCTTGTAATTTATTGCGAATGAGTGTATGCGTGCGTGTCAGGGAACGACAAAGTCAGAATGCGAATGGAATGTGGTGTGTGTGTGTGTACGCGTGTGTGACGGGAACGAAAAACAAAAAAAAATGAATGGAAAAAAAAGCGTGCGAATGACCCAGTGAAATTACATTACAAAAGATTGGTAAAATGAGATAATGTAGGATAACAACGAGGGCACGGAAAATGATGTGTTAGGGAAGGATATAAGAATCCACGGGGACAACAAAAATATTGAGTATAACGGATGGAAGGAAAAGGAAGCGTGGTTGGAGAAAAAGAGAAAGGAAAATTGCGTGATATTAAAATTACGACGAGGAATCTGCGTGTATAGGGAGAAGCTGTAAAGTGATCTTTTTTTGCCGGAGACGCCGAACTGAAAAATCTGACGGATTTGCCGGGACTCATTCCGGCTTTCCGACGCCCTCGCCCCTCCTCGTCAACCGTCTCCTTCCCCAGGTCTAGTTCTTCTGTTAAAAAAAAAACAGAAGATATTTGATTTGCGCATGTCGGGATTACATCGAGTCTAGGCAGTGGACGGTGCTGCCCCAGTGGCAGTGCTCAGAACATAGGAGCACAGTTAACCCTTAGAGGTGGGCTACTCGTGCTGCCACACGTGGGAAAAAGAAGAAACAGAGAAAACAAGTGAACTAGGAGAGAAGCATGGGAAAATTAAAACAGTAAAGAGTCTTTGACTTTCTCTTGGCTTTTATTTCGTTTCGTGGTTATCTAGAGTGGTTCTGGATTTTCCTTTTTTTTTTTTTTTTAATGAAATTTGATGGGATACATTAAAATTGGAAGTAGGAATATCTTGGAAAAAAAAGAACAAGATACCCACCTGTAAAAGTCACAAAGCATATTATTGTACATGCCACCGCATCTGAGTGATTGTGTGATAATTGAAGTGATTTGACTTGACCCTCCGAAAAGAAAAATTTTAATCGACACGCTCGTTTGAGCTCGCGGATTTTTTTTTAATTATTGATATTTTACTCGAGGATGAGAGAGAGAGAGAGTGTGTGTGTGTGTGTGTGTACGAAATGAAAATTTTAGATTTTAAAATTTATTGGGAAGATTTGTCACGAGATGAAATCCTCTTGGTCATTTGGTTTGATTAAGCTATGCGGTCGTAGCCTAATCATTTCATGGACCATGTGACGGATACCCCATTAATTAATTGTATACTATACCATGTATAGCAAAGGACGTGTTCGTATCCTTTTTTAAAAAATTTCGACATGGTTCCTCTTTTTGAATTAACGATCCGAGCCGAAGCGAGCGTGGACGTGTGAGGGTCGTATGTGATGTGATTTCTTTTATATCATAACGAATAATGAACACTAAGAAATGTTATAGTTTCATATAAGTGATACGTTATTTGTCATTTATTTTATCCCTTAATAAATGATGTTATATAAAAAAAAAATTGAAACCTGACTTCTTTCAACCAATCCGTCCGATCCATCTTTTTCCCTCATTACCACTGCTAACTATTAACAGGAACCGCGAAGTTGGATCTCAATTTTGCCATTTACTTAATTTTATATTTTCTAAACCCTATGCGACTTCCAGACTACGGGGCACCCAATTTGATAAGATGACTGGTATAGTCCATTTATATTCAGTCGGCGACACTAAGCCTCACGCTGTAGCATTACTATCGGAGGTGTGCAGAGAGATTGCCAACGAGCAGATTTTCATAGTTTGTTTTATTTTCCTGGTTCAGAAAAAATTCGTTACGGGGCGTGGAACACAAGTTACTCAAAAAAAAAAAGTATTTTTGTAATTTTCTAAAAGTTCTGTTGATATTTTTAAGCACGAGACAGACGACAGACATATATACGTTTGTCTTCTTAGAACTTACATTTATTCCCTCTATCTGAATATACATACATAAAATGACACCAAACATCGAAATTGTACCGATTAGCGCTAACATACGTTACACTTTATAATTACATTACGATGAGTTGTCCTCTACGCGTCATACACTAAGCGATTATAAGTATATTTACAAAGTAAGTTTTGACACGCGCATTTGCGAAGTGACGAATAACACGTGTCTTTCCTTATGCTCTTCCTCTTTTTCTTTTAATTAATTACAGATAGACGAGTAGATAAATGACATTATACCTTACGAGTTAATTCTGTGCATAATAAAATTCGGTCAAACCACTCGCACGGTACAGAGATCAGTTCTATCATGGATACAGAGAATATCCGTCAGGGTAAAGGACGGAAGGAAACCGTAAGGGATGCTCTCAGATCGGCAGAATTCATCCCTTAACCATCGAGTGGATACGACGAGCTACCCTTTATCCTTAAGAAGTCGGTAAAGTAACGTTCTGCACTGTTTCGACATCTATCGTCGCGACTTCGAACCAAAAAATCAAACTCATCCCGTACCAACAGTCGGTAAGAGTAGATTAGTTACCGTCGTAATCGCTTGGCGACCCATGGTGGTGCATGTGAATGTGTGACGGCAGTTCTATCGAGACTCCCAGGCTGCTTCGCTAATAAAAAGTTATTAAGATTAATTGAATAAACATTAAAAAATGTCTTTTCTCATAACAAAAACAAGAATATGCACCTGGGAACGCATCCCGTTTATCGGCGTGGCGCTTGGGTTATCCGCTGGATATCCTATGACGTGCGAAGAGCATTTCTCGCAGGCGCGTCTTCTTCTGGAGGAAGCATGGCAACGTAAGGCCAGACAAAGTTCTCGCGCCATCTCAGCGCACAGAGACTCCTGTTGGTGATTTTGCTGTTGCTGCTGCTGCTGTTGTTGCTGCACTTGTGGGATACCTTGAAGAGATCCTGAACATGTCGGGGGCATGGGCGGTGTTTGCTGCGATATAAAAATAAAATAAGAATGTAACTTTACAATAGAAAAATAATGAGGTACAATAACGACAATCTGTACCTTTCTATCGGATGTTCTCCGTCGTACACTGTAGTCTAATAGGACATGCTTCGATCGATCGTCACATGCTAAAGCACGGGAGGTTCAAATGTAACAAAAAGTAAAGTGAAGAAAAACGAAGAGAGCAAACTTAAAGCGCCAATAAAGGAACAGTCATTGACGTCAACGCTACGTCTCCGAATTCTCCTATTCGTGCATCGTCGGCGTCGGCGGAGACATACGACGAAAGTCGGGTTCGAAACTTACGCGCTCGGGCGAGGAATTTCTTTTGGAATTGTAGCAAAATTCGAATATCGCTACGACCACGGCGAAGGCTAAGCCGCACAGTAGCACCACGAAGACACCACCTGTTGTGCGGGTGTTACTGGCTTATTAATTTTCCACGAGTAATTGCCTTAACGATTAGTCGCACATCTCATGACCTAACCTATATTGTCGACGCCCAGTGCATTTGCTTTGCTCTCCTTGCCCTTTTCGGTTCTCATGCATGTGTCGCCAGGACTCTTCCACCATTTGTCATACAGCATCTGTATCTCGCCCTTCTCCTGGAGTTCCAGAATCGCCAGAGATATTTTGTCTCTCCAAGGTGAGCCTGCCAAAATTTCATTATTATTATCCCAATGAATAATAATTAACGGATGAAATCTTTGAAAATTTTCGTTTTAAGTTACCCATTGGTGTGGCTATGCCATAACCTTTGCTATCAAGGAGTCCTCCGATTTGCGTGAGGTTGCAGTCGCGCTGCACTATGTAATCGAGCATCGTGGATTCCATCAGGAAGGCATAGTCACCCTGTAGGACCCTCTGAATTCCTTCCTCGTAGGTCGGTACGAACACCGATGGCTTTTTGTTTTCCATGAACCTCCACATCTTCTTGTAAGTCTCGATCATGGAATCCTGCGAGATTACGATATTATTTGGTCAACCGATAAATCGACTTAATCAGTTTATTAATCCAAGGATAATTTCTTACTCGGAAGAACGTCATGGTGCTGCCACTTTCCAAAGTCCCGTAGGTTATGTCCGTTTGTCCGGCGAGATCCTCGGCGTTCTCAATGGGCGTTATCATCCTCTCGACTGTTAGAAACGCAGCGAGATTTGCAGTGTAAGAGGAGATTATGATGAGAGTGAAAAACCACCAGATTCCGCTAACGATACGCGTGCTGGTTGCCTGATAGATCGATGACAAAAAAATTTTATTATTCGATATTGACAAATTCGAGAGATCGTATAGGGGATCGATTTACGAGATTGTAGGAAGGGGGGGGGGGTACGTTTGTTCGTTTGGCAAAATATTTTTGATTGAAAATCGAGGAAGGTTAGGGAAATGAAAAATGATTAGGAAATATCAATCGAGGATTTCTTTATTGAATAGCAATCGCATCCCATCTCGAGCGTTCAGTACCAACCTGCAAGATAAGAATAAGCACCCGCACGATATCACCTCGTTAATTTATGAATGGTTGAAAGCGTTAAGCGAAAGGTCAAATTCAGCGGTGAATTATTACCGTGCTTATTTCATCTCGTTAAAATGCCGGTAATGGTCTTGAACGGCATAGTTGCGGGAGATGTTTTTTTTTTTTATTTACCACATATAAATGCGTATCGATAGCTCTATGGTAATTGGAAAAGGTGATAAGTCCATTAAAAAAAATGTTTATAAGAACAATGTATTTTTTGGTTATTTTTTGTGCGTGCTAAAGCAGGGTATGGGATGCTGCGAAAGATGCTGGTACGTGTGAATCAAATTACTGATAAAAAAAATTACAAGATGATGATCGATGAGACGGTAATCCTTAGTGAATCTATGATTTGACCCGGGTGCTTATTTAATCGTTACGAGCCGAGATAATATCTTGAAAAATTATTTCTTTTAATTGATTCTTCATCGATTTACTATTTTACCAAAATCTTAATACGCAAATTCTCTAAAGATACTCGCTCTGGTCGTTTTCTCTACAAGGGGTTGGTACCTTCGGATTGAGATCGCTCCCCTGCTGCATCAGGGTGCCAATGGTGAACCAGAAGCTGTTCGCCAGAGAGAACTGGTTCTCGACGATTTCCGGTCCCGAGTGACAGGGATGGGGATTGTTCCACTCGTAGGGGCTGAATCGCGCGACGACGAACATCGTCACCGAGACCAGGACGTAGGCTGCCAGGACGTAGAGCCAGATCTCGATGGCCAGTGGATTCATGAAGGAGAACAGTCGCGCCGGATGGCTGGTGGGAACCTGGGAATTCCGATGATCCGGGTAAGACAAGAGGCAAGACCCACTGGGAAGAAACAGACTTTCCTAGCGCGTCCACGTGGCACGTCGTCCCCAGGGACTGGAGGTCAAGGCACGCGGACACGTTTGACATGGGATCGATAAGAAGATTCATCTTGAAAAATCATATGTTTCACGGACGCAGATGCGCCGCTCTCGTAAGTCGATGGAATTTATCTGAGCTTGCCCCAGGGTCGGCCGGGGGCCCGAGGATTATTGACCTTGGGGTCTAATCCGGAGCCTTGTCTAAATAGGGTACCGACGAGGAAGCACAAAGAATTTGAAAAATTCTTAAGGTCCGCTTCGTTGCTGTTATCCTCGCCGGCTGTTATCTCGTCTGGAGATATCCTGACCAGGGTTAACATCGTCAAGGTCACTGCGAACGTGGAGACTCCCAGGGTTCGAAAAACTGAAACATACCGGAGGCTCCTTTCGCAGGCGCCTCAGACATTGGACTGGACTTGATGTTGTTGCTGGAGCAGGATTTTATTACTGGGATTCAATAAAGGGCATCCCTTGGTAGGTATATGCTTGAATAAATGATCAAAGAGGAAAAAAGGGCTACGGGATGCTGAGGTTAAGGGTCCATTCGACGTTCAAGGGGATACATCCTGTGGGCAATTACTTGTTCTAATTGCTCCTCCATAAGGCTGCATTCACCCCCACGATCTCCTATGTGGGCATCGATCGCGTTTCCGTTAAACGACGCAATTATCGACGACGTCGTCAACTAAATTGAAGGGGGACTCACCCTTGCGTCAACCCTCTCGGCAGACTCAAAATCAACCGGAAGTCACGTTGGAGCAGACCTCGAATTCGATCGAATTTTTTATAAATAAATCAGCGACATTATTTTCATCGGGTAGAGTGATTTTGCTTGTGACATGTTTGTGAATGTTATTGGGAAGTTAATTTTGAATTTTCCGATAGTCCCTTGCGGAGAGGCAGTATCTTAAAGCGAGTCGACTGTACGTGTAGTATTTTCATGAAGTCCTGAGAGAATGGTATTCAACGTTACTTCAAGGGTGCAAAGTGTCGCAGGTAATTTCCGGCGCAGAACTTCCGTTGGTTCTGCGTCTGCGTATCCGTGAGGTAGTAATTTTGCTATTTCGCAAGGAAAATTTGCAGGACTCCGTAAAATGCGCTGATTTCACATTAAACGACTGAATTCTCTCGCTCGAGATTAATTATGAGATAATTATTCGCGTTCTTGTCTTCTCTCGTTTCTTTCTTACTGTCCAAGATGTAAGTTTCTTTCTGTATATTTCTTGACTATATCAATGGACTATTATTCGTTTTACGGTTTCCGTCTGATCGTAATTAAGCATTTGACTGGTATTAATTGAGGAGACGCTCTGGGCCTGAAGCTGATTGGCGCAATTAGCCAAAGTCGTCGTACTCCACTTCTTGGAGTTGAACTCCACCACACTCCTCGTCGGGATCCTCGACTAATTGAGAGACTACTCGTCGCTGCAATTACTGGGACGCGAATAGGAATTGTTTTAGAAATTCATTATCAAAGTAAAGAAATGTCAAATATACATAGCGAATATATATATATATATATATAGCGAAGCAATTTGGTACTATGGGTAAAACGTATGCGCGTGTTGAGTGAGTATTTGCTTTGCGAAAAGTGAGCATTTTTGAAAAAAATCCAAAAAAAAATAAAAAGAGACAACAATACTTTCGCGAGGGTGTCATAGGTCAAAATGCCTGATAGCGAATAAGTGAGGGATGTCGTGTGACCGGAAGTTGGGACCGCGTGGTTTTTTTTTCACGGGGGTTGCTGGCACTTTTGAAAATTGTCCGTAAAAAGAAGGAAAGGGCTGCACGAGAGTTCGGAAAAATGTGCAGTTTGTCATTTGATTTGGTGAATCGGGAGTATCGGTCGCCTCGGCTCTTCGCTAATCGGGAAGCGGCTTAACGAGTTTCGGCGATCGGGCGATAACGTCGGTGAACGGAAGCTGGATAAAAATGGAGAGTAAGGAAGATTGACGAAATTTTGAAAAAGATAAAAAATTGAACCAGTGAAAAGCAAGTGAACGCGACGGGAACGAAATGTCGCTTCATAGAAATGAAATGTCGCTTCCATGAGGCAGCCTGTCGACGGTGTGAACTCTTCGTAAATCGACCGTAGAAAATATTCAGACTTTTGTTCATTAAAAAGGATATTACGCGACTCGATAGACCGTGAGATTCTCGAGCTCGTTAAATCATGCAGCTCATCACCTTTGACCCGTGCTAATTGGCCCGTGACAGATGGCGCCACTGTGCTACCTCAGGAATAGACATACCTCAGGCAGACGGAACGTTGAGTCTGTCAGACGTTTAAGCCAGAATGCTCTCTTGTCAGGCAATGTCAATGGTATCATTATAAAATTACGGATAAGCGTTGCCATAGCAACCACCAGCAACGGACCTTAATTGGTGATTTACATTAATTACTTGTTAACGAGATCAAAAAAAAATAATTATCTCGAGGGAAATGTGAAAATTCGCAAAATTTAATTGAAACGAAAGAAAGTACTTTCGATCAGAAAGAAATAGGGTGCGAAGTGCTTTCGGTCGTGTAAAACATTTAAAATTATTATTTTCAGAAATTTAATTGGTGCAATTCGATTGAAGTTCAAAGGACCAGGTCGTAAAGGACAACGATTCTCCAATCCACTTTCAATTTCATTTATAGATGTACCCACTTATGAGTCTCCATTTTCTTGGAAAATTCTTTGTCCTTAATTAAATAAATTACCTGGAATGTGAGGTTGGCGAATCTTTGAAGAGGAAGGAAAGAAAAAAGCTGCGAATATATTTCTTAATAATTTACTCGACATTAGTCAGGGACGTAATTAAGGCAACAGTTAGTCCACGTCGTTAACATCTCGCGGAGGAATCCACAGCTGTAGATCAGAGGCGAGAGATGAGCTGGAAGTTTTTCGTTTTGGAAAATAAAAAAAGCTCCTAAGTTCGTGCCTGTGGAAACCACTGAGATGCGAAACGATCGGGGTATAAAAAAGTGTAGAGAATAAAGAACCAAGGCTGCCAACTAAGGAACGGCGCAATTTGCATTTTCGTACGTTGGTACTAATTCGTGAATTAAAATGTTGGAATTCACCAAATCGAAATAATTATAAAGCTCGATTCGTCGGGGAAAATGGATAATAAAATTTTTTAAATAATTATCCGTGCGTTTCTATTGCAGTTAAACGTAGACGTGCACACGTACGAACGAGTACACGGGAAATGATAAAATTATCGGTGTAAAATAATTATGTAATACAATATCCCTGATTAATTTTTTTTTTGTAAATCTTGCAAAAAAACTGCTTTTCACTTTACCTTGAAAAGTATGCTGATACCAAGATTCATGAAGGGTTTTGTAAAATCGATGACACTCTCCCTCGCGTAATTAATCGTCATCGATCCTACAGCCAAATCCGCTTTCTGAAAAGAAAGTACGAAATTACTTTTCTCTCGATATATATATATATATATATATACATATTTTTACATGAAAGTCACAAACATATATATATATATATACATATATAAAAATATATTCAAATCTATAAAAATTGATACATATCTGCATTACGTCTAAATACATTTTCCAAATTTGAAAAAAAAATACCTGTTCCATATCACCACATCCTCTTTCGACCAAGAGTAAAACTACTTAACACGTGGACAAGGCATCACGCATTGATCTCCTGTACATAAATAAGTATCCAGCAGCCCGTCCACCCTCGTGGACCAAAATCTGTCATTGGATAGTCAATAATAATAAAAAGAAGATCAAGTCACTACGATTTCCCTCCCCAGACCCGATTACGTTAAATTTCAATTTCTCCCCCTGATAGCCCCCCTCCTTTACTTTTATATAAAAAAATTGCCCAAGCACCGCGCACGTAAAGTGCAGCTGCAGGATACCGACGCCGGACGTCGCATTTCGCAAGCGACGGAAACACGTACATAGGCGCTAGGTAAAGGGACGACTATGCCGTTTAGATATTTAACTGCTTTTTCAGCGTCTGGAACGAGCCACCCCCCCTCCCCCCGCCCCCGCTCCAGGCCTACAGCAACGTCGGCAATTTATTTCTGGCTCGGTCGAAAGGTTCCTGATAACGAGAAAAAGTGCGACCCTTCCCTCCAGCCCTGCGACGCCCACAGCCCCACGTGCAGCGGACGACGTGGGCGTCGCGAGGGAAAGTGCACTGCAAGTGCAAAAAGGCCGGATAACGTCAGTTAACCAGGATGGATGCAGCCGCGAGATAAATTGGTAACTACGTTCAGATATATAACACCAGCCTTATTACCAGGCTGTCTCTCTTTCATATTTTATCTTTCAATTTTTTATCCCAGCATTTATAACCCAGCCGATCCCTGCGAAAGACGCCGCGCGAATAATTCCGAGCGACGACTTCGTCTCATGAATGACAAATCATTTAACATACCATCCTATGCGTTCGTAGCTTTTCCATTTACATAAACAGTCAGACTATATATGCATTTATTCGAAATAGCTAAGCAGTGTCCGACCATTCGCGGTAGTACCCACTGCTATCTAGCCTTCAAAGAAACTGGTCAAATTTATGCCACGTGACGAATGCAGCTGTATGTACGCCTTTTTGCAAGGCTCATATATATATATATATACATATATATATATAGCGACAGCAGCAACCGACCTTCAGCCGACTAGCTTTACTCCCTAAGGGGCTGGTAATACGATTTCGACTCCGGGCTTGTGTCGCGACGCTTGTTCCCTGGCAAAAGTTCCCGGCCAGGGGCGTAACGGGACGTCGAGAACCACGACGACGCCCGTTGCCGTTCCGCCGTTGACGGACTCCTAAGCGTCTGAAATATGACGCTCAGCCGCAGGACGGATCCTCTTACTTTTTCACCGGAGTCTCCTCTCTCCCTCCCGATTCGCCGCTGTCAACTCACCGTGCCCGCGTTCGCAGCCCCGGAGCGCCGCTCTGCCATATCGAGGAAATCCCAGCGGCGTCGCGACGACAAATGATCATCCGACAAAATTAGTACGACCGTCGCAATAATGCGACGCACTCTGTTATCGTCGCACCTGCCGTTTGCGGATAAAATTCTGGTTCCGCGTGAAGCACCACCCCCCCCCTGCCCGCCCTTCACCAAAATGACGATACCCGCGGCGCGGACAAACTGCCGCTCGTATTTCACGATTTCCATATTTCACGTAATGGGCCGCGAGGAAGGGGAACTTGTTGCGAGACTCCAGTCCGAGCGAAATACTGGCGCGATATTTCATTGGGCTTAAATAAAATCGGATGGAATTTTTTTTCTCCGAGAATTACGACACTCCAGAGATAAGGCAAGCTGGTGACTCTGGCGACTTTGATGGTGGCGACGCCGCTGGACTCTTTTATGACTACGTGTGTATATAGCTAATTTAGTTCCCCCTGTCGGCTTGTACTTTGTTTCTTCTTTAGCTTTTAGGTCTCGAGCCAAAATCAAAAGTCGAGGGAAGTTCGGTCGTTAAGGGGGATACTGCGTATTCGGCATTTTAAAAGGTTCTTATCATACCCTCCCCCACTTCCCCTCTCCCGCTGCACAAGCACTGCTTCGGCTCCGTCAATTAAAATCGGTAAGTCAGACGCAGGAAGAAAAATTTTTATCGCGCCTTCGACTCTCCTCTCTGTCTTCGTTCGGGTCTTGCTCGCTCGCTCTTTACTTTCGCTCTCTGCCGTCCTGATAATTAGCCGGCATGATTAATGGCAGCTAATGATTTTTAACTTTCTCGGAGCTTCGTTATCGCGAATTTCAGCTTGTTTCCTGTTGTCGTCATTGACAATTTTTCACCGACTCCCACACTGCGAGTTTACCGGGATTTCCGGTTTTATATACACGCTGTTGTATGCTTCGGTCTCCTCGGATTGCGTCATTATTTTTTATTCATTATATGAAAATACATTTTTATTCAGTTGGCAACACCGTGTTTTTCCGTATCCATGTAATTTCATGCTCGCTCGCTGCAATTTACTAGGAATCGTATTAGCCGGGTACTTCGTACCGAGTATTTTATATTTCGTGCGAGGACGACGGACTTCCGGGGAAATGAAGTTCGATGCGAAACGAAAGACAAAGGAGACTCCTTCCTGACGCTGTTCGGTAACCATGACGATACCGTAGCGCGAGAACGTCGGACGCCAACAATATTTCCAATATTTGCCTGGGAATGCGAAACACGCGGAGCAATGAGTTTCGCACGAACACCGCCAGGTGGCCACTGGGACGAGGTGAGATAGCGCACGATCAACCCAGAACCCGAGATGCGGACAGAGCAACAAGAAATTTTGGAGTCGAACAAATTTTCAAAACCCAATCCCGACGTGAATTACGTGTTAAATTTATTCCGAAAAATTATTACGAAAATTTTCAAATTTTTCTACCAGAATAACCGATCCCTTCCCCGTCCACTTTACGTAGCTTCGAGTGTCCAAGCGAAAGCTGCGCTTGTACACTTCCGCTCTATTTCCACGAGGAACACTTATCGTTATCGCGAAGCTGTTATAGCTAACAAGGTATATCCCGTACGTGCTCGCAACACCGTATCCATTCGTTGCACCGTTGTTCCCAGGTTGTCCTGCCATTTCGCAGGCTAGTTCCGCGCAGTGACATGCACCGCGCTATTTCCGCCTCGACCGAACTTCATTTGCATTGCAAACCAACCTCGCTGCCCGCGACGCTCTCTCGATCCGAGCTGCATCTGTTACCCATCTGGCATCTCTGCCTACGATCTCCTATCCTTCTCCCTCTCTCTCTTTTACCGACCCACGCACGAGCCGATCTGAAATTCGAATAGTGGAAACGAGCTTTCCCCGTTTACCGGAATAGACCATCGTCCCTAACGAACCTCTGCGCCATCGAAATGGCAGCTACGTACCTGTTCGCTGCTGAAGTTCTCTCGTTATAGATTTACCACCTTGATTAGTCCTAAATTGCAAAAAGCATCGCGAGCGCAAACACTCACGTTTGTATTCAATGAAAAATATAAAATTTTTAATATGTCGATTAAATTATACGTATCTGTTTCTATATGTATTATTATTATTATTACCGTACCTCGCGAGACTAATGCATTCTCATCCACACGGTCGGTAAAGAAACCTACCTTATCCATAAGCTGCCGAACGATCCCATTCCATTCTCCGGTCTCGTAATCGTAAACTCCGTACTTGCCGTCCGGTACCATTTCGATTCTGTAGGTAAAGCCGACCATATGTGCGATCTCCTTCAGGAGGTCGATGCAGAATCCCTCGTACCGTGCATTTCCGGTGAAGTTTCCTTTGCTCCTGAGCATCACGTAAGGCTGCTCCTACGGGATACGTCACAAGCAAGTCTAGCATACGGGAAATCGTGGGAGCCGATGTTAAATCAATAAGGTTGGCCCTTTGTACACTGTACATATATATACTCGTATATATCGAGACAAATTAATCCTTACGCTTTCATATACCTATATATGTATATAAATACACATCGATCAAAATGTTCATTCAATTTTCCCAAGGCTTTGTACGTCCTTCCTACGTCTCGCCGGGAACGTTATTGGCGTCCCGTCTTCCTTGGTTAATACCCGCGTCTCGTCCATACACACCGCCCGATAGGCGTGAGTACGACGGCACGCGTCGCGACGGCTTACCTGGGTAGTCCTAATGGCTATTTACAACCGTATACAGAATTTCGATATCCCAAGAGACACGAATCGCGTGAAAGCAACCTAGTCGCTCGTCGATAACCCGTTAAAACGGATTACGCGACGTCGACGTCGTTATAGTACGCGATATCCCGCAGGGGACAAAGTTCCTTGGATTAAGACGCGTCTGCTCTGCAGCCTCCTGAATTCCTATGGGAATTCATTTATAGGATACATATTTATGGGATGCTGCTACGTCTGGTTATTATCGTGCTATTAGGAGACACTTCGATTGGTTGGGACTCCCTTTCAAGTTTCCTCTTGTCAGTTTAGTCGAACTGCGAGGGGAGGCGTCGCGACGCCAATTTTACACAGGACGGAAACGATCGATACTTTTAATCGGTATTGACTGAAGAAACTTTTATGGACGACAGACGCTTGTTAAACGGACTGACGGTAATGAATATTAAAGAATTTTTAATCACGATTGATTACCCTGATTATTATTATTATTGTTGTTTTTTTCTTCGTGTATTCCTATATCGAGGGAATTATACTCGCACTGTATACAGATATACGATTTGACGATTAAACTTTGTAATTGCTAGATACTTTGCGTACATAGGGATACGTATGTGTATAGTGCGTGTACTGTGATGGTTTTAATCAGAAATGTACATATGAAGATACGGTTATTTAGGTACATTATAGTGCACGTAATACGGATAGGTACAGTCGGTGATTGGGTTATGGTATTTTGGTAAAAAAACTAAGGCAGAAACTATAGGAATTTACTACTGTGTCTGGTTACGTGATACTATATCGATTTCTACTGGTACGCTGATAAGGGGTTGATTATAGTCTTTTGCTTGGGGCTTGATAATTTGGATCGTGCTATTTAGGTAAAGACGAGGAAAAATCAAAACAAACCAAATCATACATGTCGCATGAGCTCTTTGACGATGCCGTTCCATTCGCCGGTTTCTGGATCCCGTGCACCGTACTTCCGGTCCGGGACGAGTTCCAGACGATACGAGAATCCGACCTCCCTTGCGACGACCTCGAGGAGGTCAACGCAAAAACCGTAAAAGCGTGAATTCCCAGTGTAGTTCTTTTCGTAGTGCATCATCACGTACGGCATCTCCTGCTCGGAATTGTCATTGATTTATGGGACTGTTGGCTTCTCAGTGTGCGTATGGATGATTTTGGGCCGATCGCCGCGAGATCGAACTATTTGATTAATTTGTGGATAGGGTGATGAATTGGCGAATCGACAATGGTGATAGGGAGTGATGGGGAATTGCTATGAGTCTCTGGCGCAACACGCGCGAAGCGTTAATGAAGCTCGATTACATTCGAATGCGAATGGGGACGACTCGTTTTTGGATAATCGGCACTGAATTCCCAAATTAATTTGAATCCTGGCGCGGAATTGTTCGCCGTTGCCGAGCGAGCTAGTGGCTTAACGAGAGGCTGGATAAACTCTCGTGGCCGCGAATTCTCCCTTTCGAAATTCCCTGTTGCAAAGTGCGAATGAATGGGATGCAGAGTGACGAGTAATAGGGGCAGTGGTGGAAGTGGGGGGTCGAGGGGGGGCGATGGAAATAATAATGGTGATAGTGTAATAGTGGGGGGGAAGTGGCGTATGAATAAAACCGAATCACTCGATAATCCGACGAGATGGGAAAAAAGGATTTGGGTTAAAAAAATAAGGCTTGAAAAATTTTATGTTAAATTAGAGTTTGACAGATATGAATTTTTTAAGCTGAATATTATTGTCTGGCGGCTTTCTAATGGTGCTTCCTGTCGGTGGCTAGAGAAAGTTTAGTGTTGAGGTTGATTACAAAATAAAGATGACCATCTTAGCAAAGTAATACCATTTTCACTTATTAATATTTAATATGTGGATTTTTCAAGTTTGAACTAATTGATCGATGGGTTCGATTAGTTATGGAATATTTGTACTTGATGAAGTAATAATATCTTTAATGTCACTCTTGACAATTTTCGAAAAACTTTTAGGTATGAATGTTTTGAAATTTTCACATATTCATTGGGTAATAATAAACCTTTAAGGTGTTCAAAAAATCATAAGAAATTTGATTCGCATTAATGTCGGTGACAATTAACCCTGTTGAATTTTCGTGTAAAAAATGCAAGAAAAAAGCAGAGTTATGCCAGCAAAAAAAATGTTGCACGGCGAACGTATGGAATTCGTACTGTATCGTACGTGCCTATTATGGACGCAGATAAAATGGATAATTTCAGGAAAGAAGATGATGCACCGTTGCACTGGAGAAAATTTAAAAGTCCAACGAGATTTCGTGCAGGACATTTTTCTACGGCGTTTTTTTTTTTTTTTTTCAAAGAACAATGCGAAGGACACGAGCGCATGTCGCGCGCAACGAAAATATTCCATCAACCGAAGAAACAGCGTAATTTCCTACCGAAATGGAACCGAGAACCCGGACACGGCATGCGGAAGTGTATAAAGAGAAACATAATTTACGTGAAATTGGAAATATGGAAAAACATCTGTTAAAAAAGCCATATAAAGCCAACAATTTATTTGGCTGGATAAATTATTTTATTTCGAGACAAAAAGATAACCCAATAAGCTTTTATTTCATGCCATTAACGGTTACTTCAAAGTTTATGACTTGAACCCATAAACGAGTTCGGGTCAAAGGTCAACTCAATAACTATACCCTATTACACTTTATCATAAGGATTATCAGATTCGATTGTGCAAAATTGATCGCGCCTACTTATAAGTAAGTACTTATAGTAATTTTTCATTCTACAGTTCGACTCGCGTTCACTTACCAGGATTGTGATGACGACCAAAGTCACGTTGACATCTCCCGGCTCAAAGAAAGCTGCCGTGTCCGTGACATTGACACCGGCGTCCGGACGCCATTCTCCCACCTGGGAAGAAAGATCAAAGTTAATTCAAAATTTTTTTTTAATGTACTTCAAGCGTATTTCCCCTTTCAAGATTCTCTTACCTTAACCAGAGAGTGCTGCTTCAGTTTGAGTAAATCCAGTTTAAACTGTATCCTTCTGCCCTCCTTAAATTCGATTGGTCCAGAAATACCTTTCATCTCGACCTAAGACATAAATAAGAGGTTCCTAGGGTTATTCGATCTGTGCCCAAGTATTTTGGAAAATCCGAAAAAACTTTAAAGAAAATTCTTTCCTCGAGGCTGCTCAAGTGTCGGCCTTCGTCCTAAGATGACATTTAATCCTAAAGTAAAATATTTTTGACCTGTCGGCTCGAGGTCACTGGACCCTGAAGTGTCCTGGAGGATTCTCCCCCCTGTTATCATCCAACCAATCCTTACCCGACAAAGAGATGGAATAAGAAGGAAGGTCTAATGTAATCTGAGACCTCCCCCCAAGAACCCTAGTGAAGAAAATGCCGAATGACCACATGATCGTCAGATGGCGGTACTGTACAAGTCGGCTAATAAAATCTGGCATAAAGTCCTTATAAGGTCCTTAATGGGATTAGAGTAGCGACGGAAGCGATCGTATCCCAATAATGTCGGAATAAAGTGTCCAAAGAAAAGAAATGGACCTGGGGGCGTCATCGATATCAAATAAAACTTTTTATCCGTATTGGGTTGGTAAGCTGTATCGCGCATCGAGCGACTACTGGGCTCCTCATAAATACGTATACCTCGTGGCTGCCAAGAAGAAGCAAGAAGGCGTGTTACTCTGCGTTTACGAGCGTTCGCTGCTTATTCCCCAGGACGACAGGAAAGTAGCAAGAGGTGGGAATAAAATTTGATAAAGATAAGGCGAGGAGCGAGAGAGATGAAAAATACAGGGATAACGAAAAAAGGAGAGGAAAAAAAATTGGTATAAAGAAAAGAACAGGGTAGCGGAAGATGATGAGACGGGGTGGGGATGGTTTTGCCGACAGCTCGTATATTTTGTTGGTAATTGCCGTGCGAATGAGACTTCAGTAGCAGGAAGCGAAAGTAGAGAAGAGACTGGAGACGAATCAACCTGACCTGAAAATTCGACCTCGTATAGACACGTGGCCTGGACCACCTTGAAAGTATCATAATTTGAGCTATCTGGATTTTTCGATAAGGAAAATTTTTTTTTTTATTTACAAAGATGACAAACTTTGACTTCCGGTTTGTATAGTCTCTATTGTCAATATTCGACGGTTATATCGTTAAATGGAAAAGAGCTGAAGGGACGGTATACATACAATGAGATTGTAGAAAAACGGAAATTTGTCCGGTGCTTCTCAATTTTTTAAAAATATTTTATCTTCCTTATCACTGCTTTCTCTTTTTATCGCTCGCTCTTTTTAGCTTCGTCCTTCGATTATTTTCCACTTTTTTTTTTGGGCTACCAATCGATGAGCGCCCTGCCCTTCTCTTTCTACCGTCGGAGTAAATCCTCCTCGTAATTTGCGCACGTGGCCATCCGGGCCGATTCTCACGCGACAAAAGAGAATTTAGCACGGATTCCAGTTTGATACCAGAGACAGAATCCAGGTGGCAGCACGGTCGTAATTTGTTATTACGAGACCTCGGCCTTCGTGAACTCTTTGCGAGCTATCAAGGATTACCTAACGTTTCTCTACTGGCGCGCGAAGGAAATGTGAGAACGTGACTTAAAATTTTCACATCGTCCGTCCTCCTCGCTTTTTCTCAACTCCCTATACTTACGTCTCTTTTCTTTATAATGTCTTACGGGCTCCCTGGATTTAGCCGAAAACTTGCAGAGCGTGACGACGGCTTCGACCATGAATTTTACGAGCATAAACCTTCACAGGCCACTTCATCCGGAAGCGGACAGCTAGTTGGCCGGAAGCGTGTGGGGAAAAATAAAAAAAAAAAAATGCTAAAAACGAGAGAAATAAAAGAACGTACACGAACGAAAATGAAATACGGTGGACATGCCAATATTTTCTGGGAAAATTGAGAAATCTATGAAAACTACAAAATAGTAAACCACTCTATACATATATACGTCGCATGATACCATCAGACCGAAGAGTTAAAATAAAAGGGATCCCGGTGCAGTCTGGGTCATTCGATCGAAACCTGCAGGCCTGTCACTAATTGCCTAATTAATTTACGATGGGAAATTCGTGTCGCTGCTAATTGATCAATGAAACAGGCAAAATATTAGGCCAAGCAATAAAGTATTTCGTTTTGAAAAATCGGGCCTGGGAGGAGCGGAGTTGAATTTTTTGGAAGGGTCGCCCTTTGACCTTTGGATTCATTTGACAAACATAGGTATACCCTCGAACGAAGATCCCCATCCAAATTGAAATTGGAGATACGGCTGGGATCGTAAATTAAGAAGATGCTACCAGTGACAGCTGTATAATCCTAACGGCAAGTAGTCGAGGTCACGGATCTCAAGAAAGTCCGCAAGACTAGATTTCGCTACGAGAAGAAAACTTGCCGGTATAAAGTTAAGCCGAAAAGCTCGCAGCGGTCACGAGCGCGCTTTAACTCAGTCGATGTAAACGGGGCTTTAAAAATGTCGCTCCCGTGAAGACAAAGGACTCGCTCCGAGACTCGCGGCAGGACTACGTAAGTATCTCTAAAAAAGAGGAGGCCCAAGTCATTTCTCCGTGTAAGCTCTGGCGACTTATAAAATTGCAAAAATTGTTTATTCACCGTAAATCTAATCATCGATCACTTTGAAATTTCTTATCGTACTCGAAATACGATAAGAATACTTTTCAAAATATTTTTGAACGTCTCCTCACCGATATATCAAATTCTATTCGACCGATCGACCCGATCGATTCTACGTTTAATTAGCTGAAAATGTCACGTGACAGGGACATAAACTCGCCCAAAGGATCTAGCAAATGTCCATTAACCAGTCGGCGCCCGAGCTTAATTACACAGGGATTCTCGCGAGATTCTCAGGTGGTTTAATGGCTATGGCATTTAACCCAGCAATGATAATGGCTATGAGCTTAAGCACAGTTTCTGGCAATGTGTCGTTAAGGTCCATTGATTCGTGAGATTCGAAAATCTTCATGACAATCGTCGGTCGTCAATGAGTATTTTCATATTAGCTACACGTATTCCGCCCATAGGTATTTCGCCTATATTTATTCTCACGCTTATTAAACAAGTAGCTACCCTATTTACGATTTCGTTTTGCAATGCTAACGACGAACGGGCCGTTTAGACGTCATTTGAAAAAGTATCGGACAGCCTTTCCGCCCGGGGAACTTTATAAGAGATCCCAACCACGTGCAAACGATATTCAATCCGAGATAAGGCAACCGCCTATGGAATTTTCAAAGGACGACGCGACGTTCACGCAACATGGCGACACATTAATTCGCACAGCGAATTTGCACGAGCGTTCAGAAAATCTATCACGAAGAACCTGGCCGGCATACGAAGTCAGCAATATGCAGAGACCACGTAACCTATCATGCACAGGGTGTCTCAGAAGTAACCGACCTTCCTGGATACACTGTTATGCACGGAATAAGAACACGTGCGAAAAGATTTCAAAAGAAAAAAAAATTTTAAGTAAAAAAAATTGCAATTCTTTAAAAGAGGTAAACGACAAAATTTCTTCGTTAGGCTAAACATAGAAAAGAAATTTTTAAATTCTAACTTCGTACCGGCACCATCCGAAAAATCATTGTTACGAAACGCACTGGAAAGAAATGCCGTAAAGTTCAATTTTGCTAGCCGCTCATCCAAAACATTGCATTCCCCGGTCACGGGATCTGATTCGGGCCGTATTAAAGGGCGCCTGGTACAATTTTATGCCGTTTGACTGCGCCGACCACCGGACTGCATGACTGGGCCAGATTCGCGAGCCCCGGCGTGGCTTCCGGTGAAGTCGCGCGAAACGTGCGAATCTTTTTTTTTGCTCGTTGTACATATATATTCACGTCCACGTACGCGTGGAAAGGTACCACAAGCGAATTCGGACATTGTGCGACAGCCGGGTTCATTAATGTCCGACTAATGAATGAGAAGGTGCGATTCGCGTTCCTACTAGTCATACCAACCCCTATCTGCAATCCACTCCCATATACTATAACGCTGGTAAACTAATGGATATACATGGAGAAAATGAGAGAGAGAGAGTTACCCTATATGTACACACTCATATACCATATGGTATATATATAGTTAGTAAATTTATCGAACTTCATATTCGAGACTGCGGTATGCCGAGACGCGCGCTACGGAATTCCACGTTTCTTGCCCACCGGCTGCAAATATGGTCTCCGCTCGATTAGAAGGACGATATTGGAATCTGTCTTCTATGCTATTAAATTAATAGTTGTGCATTGAGTACTCTTCGGGTTCTATAATACCAGGAGTTGCAACGCGTTCACCGATGCCACGCTAAAGTGTCGTACACGGGGAACACGTATACGTGGATAATCGAGGGGCTCTTTCATGTAGGGGAATTGCCTGATTACTCAATATTCCCCTAATAATATCGTTAGCTTCAAGTAATTAGTTCTATGGTATTCGGAGGATTAGTACCGGGTTACAGAGTAAATTCGTTCAGGGTATAGGGGGTACGGATTATTGATTAGCGTTAAGGTGGCAGAAGGGAGGGATGGTAAGTAACGTTGTATACATATCGTGTAAGAAATTAAATTTGTATTAATTAATAAATTAATTAACATTTTTTCCTAAAATTTCTTCTAGATAAACCTTTGAATTCAAATATGTTCCTTTGAGGGGCTGCTCGTAATTTGTTTAAATTCGCAAATTGATTTGTTCTTGATTTATGGACATTTTTAAGGAGGAAGGATACCAACGAAAAAAAAAAGTGAACGAAGTCAGTTTTTTAATTTCTAAATTGCTGGTCAACTTTTGACGTCCGGTGATTCGCGTTGTGGGACGGGACAAGTGGAACTTTTTTGAAAACTTTTGAATATAGTATCGAAATTACTGGGTTGGGTTGCTTCGATGTGCTCCACCTTGTTTTCTATTTGTCGAGGAACATCGATTAGGTGGATGATCTTAAATTTTTTGATAACGATATAGGTATATTTTTTTTTTTTGATACGACTAAAAAACGCATGCTCCTTGTTCGATTGTTTTATTTTCTTGCACTGTGCTCCTCTGCTGTTAATGTATCACGAATAATCGAGTGTTATCCATAGAGTTAATACAGATAGAGCAAACAAGCCAGCTCGCAACGCGGCAGCGGCGAAGAGAGAGACAGATGCAAATCAGGGTGCAAAGACGGATAGCTAAAGGGGTTCAGCTGTCTCTTTCTTTCTCATTATGAGCGAACGGACACTTCCACTTGCAGAGCAGCCTATGGCTTGTCTGCTCTATCTGTATTAACTCTATGGTGTTATCGGGATAATAGATAACGGGTAGTACAGATACGTCCGCAAATGCACTGGTCCCATATCCAAGCAACTTGACGCCATATGCATATGGAGCGCAGTGCATTATGGTGCAGCGACGCATAAGGTTAACTTTGATCTGGGCCTTCTGGTCCATTATGGGCGTGGATGCTTTTTCTCTGGGAACAGATATTTTTCCCGGATGAATTCTCGCACATGCCATAGGGGAAACTCGTTGAAAATCTTGCTTCTTTCTTAACAAGCCAAACGGTCACGTACGATAGTTTTGCTCTGGGCTTGATTTGGAAAAGTGGACAGTGTAGCTCGACCAGGGGTTGTTCTTCGGCCGTTTCAAATGTGGGGTGAAGGAACGTACGTTAAATGGGAAAATGTTCACGAAACAAATTTTCAGGCTGAAACTGTCGGATTGGTCGGCCGTGACAGGACAAGGGTTGGCATTGGATGGGAGGGGGTGGACATAAAATAGGGGATGAATAAAAAAAGAGGAAGAATCGTATTGTAGGTGAAATTCGGTTAAGAAAAATGACAAGCGACAAGCCAAGCGGGCCGAACGAGGGCAAATATTCATTGAGGTAAAACACGGTTAAGGGGGATTTCGAGGATTTTGGAAATTTATTGATTCGAGGGGAAGAAAGGACGTCCGGTGCGAATACAGGTTGGGAATTCGATAGGGGTCGAAATCAGGAGGTTTCGAGACCACAGCTTCGAGATGGGTGCAAAAAAAATGGTAGTAATGGTTTCAACGACTGGAGGGGGAAGTATGACGTCACAAAAGGATTTGTGGTTCTGTCAGTGACAGGTTCGGTACCGCTTATCATGGTATTAAACAATTTAACCCTCTGCATTTTCATTCTCTCTTCATTCTACGTACGATTCAAATATTCAACATATACGTATAGTAAATCTACTTCATCTGCGTTCTGCATCTGTTTTCGTCTTTATGTCAGTCCTGTCCCTCGTCAATCCTATAGCGCGCGCACGTGCGTTCATTGAAATTCATGTAAACGCGCGTCCGACGATCAGGACGTTCGTTTTAATCTGTCGGTCAGGCTCGAGGATGCCTTTTAAGGAAGAGGGGTTAGTAGGGAGGGAATAGGAGGAATGTGAACGGTACCCAACTGTGACCAGTATCTTATGACGATTCGGGGTTTCCGAAAATCCTACCAATTTGAAGGGATCCTATTTATCGAGGGATACGATAAAAGCCATTTCGAGTATATATATGAAATTTTTTTTTTAATTTAAAAAAACCTTTTTTTACAATTCAGCATATATTCTTCAGGTCCAAGTTTCGTTGAATCTCGAAAAGATACTCGATTTGAAAATTTATATTTTTGCGTTAACCTTCGTGACATTGTTCTACAGCCCCTCTGCCTTTTTTTTTTTTTTTTTAGAAAATGCAAAAAAAAGGGATAGCTCTGGCTCAGCTCCAACATCATCCAAGCACGATAAACCGGAGAGGCAACCGTTAATTTTGTTCTGACAGATAATCGGTTCCTTTTTCGAAAACATGAAGTTCGCTTTTGCAGAGGGTTAATGAGGTTACCAAGTGTCACGCGGGGAGACAGTAAAAACTGAAGGGGCGAAAAGCATCAGAAGGTGGAAGATGTATGAAAAAATTAAGGGGTAACGCTACCGGTTGTTGAAAGAAAATGCAAAAAAAACTCACCGAGTTGATGTAGTTGATGAGAGAGAGTCCACCGTCCCAGGGGTGCTCCAGTTCGCAGGAGAGATTGGCAGGCCTGAGTGCGTGCGATTGCTCGAGGGTTCTAAGGCCGACGGCAAACACCTGCACGCTGTCGTACATGAGGGCTGATTCCGCCTGGAAGAAAAAGTTTTTAAAAATATAATTATACACGGTGCGTTATTTCGATAATTGGAAAAAATACGAAAAACCCACGTATCATCGTCTCACAGATTTATTCCTGTGAAAATACGTCGTTCTCTGATCTTTGAACTCCGGTGCGACGGAAGTGCCACTTACTTTTAACGGATATTCCGAAAGACGCTTTGCCTCCTGCACTCGAGGTGCCTTTGGGGCGAAGTAAGAAAACCGCGAAATAACAGAAATCGAGGGGAACGAATGAGGAAGGCGAAAGCGCGTAACGGGAAGAAATAAATAAGAGAGAGAGAGAGAGAAACGTGAATTTAGAAAAAGCACAATGACGCCAGACACAGAAAAGCTCTGCCGGCCGCTGAACAAAGTTAGACAAACACATTTCCTTTCTATTTCCCACGTATTTCCGTATTTTATGAAGAAGACTCGCGAGCCACCCTGCCTAAAAGGGTGTATATTAAAATACACCCTTTGTACCAACTCCCATAATCCACTCTTGGAAACTCTTCCTTATTCTCATTCATACGATAAATCGTCTTGTCCATGAAAAACTTCAGTTTAAATGACACATGGAACTCGTGGCCGATAGGTAGACAAATATTCGTCCTGGTTATAACGTTCGATAGGTATGTAACGTCACGGTGGCGCGAGGCGTCCCGACGCCACGCAACGTAACGTAACGTATTTATGAGCAAACACCTACTGGCATTGCGAATTTCCCATATTTGCAGGACAAACACAGGATCAGAAACTTGGCGGAGTGGCGCACGCGGTTTATTTGTCTGGCAACAACAAGGCTAAGCTTCGGTTCGTGTAGAGACGGTTGGTAACCGTGCGCGTACGATGGGAAGCATAAATTTCATCATGGGAATTTATCAAGTTCACAAGTATGTAGAGACCAGACGCTACATATATATATATAAGCACCTATATCAGTGATAATTTTCATCAGCCACCAAGGATCCTCGCTGTGTCGCTCGTAAAATTTATTCAATTATCTACCATAGGTACCCACACGCTGCTCAACCACCATTTTCACGGGTGAATTCCGCCTTTTCCTCTGCGGCTGAAGTTCTGACGCAACCGGAAGTGTCGACGTGGCGCGCCGTCCTCGTTGCTCTTTAATTCGTACATTTGCAATCGTAATTTGCAATCGGCAAACAAAAATTGTTTTCTCTATTTCCATCCGACCAACCTTCACCTTTTTTTTTTTTCGTAACTTTATGTATCGGGGCTGCTGTAAATTTCCTGATTTCCAGGCAGATAAAAAAGAAAGGAACACTTCCGGGACATTTTCATTCGGCGCTCTACACGTGGCTATCCTACTTTCTCGTATTTTTGCGAAATCCGAGTCTCTTCTAATTCCGTGAAATGACTGAGAGACACATAAACATGTTTACTGGATAAGTTTTATATTGTTTTTTTACACTCCACGGCGCCCCTTTAAATTTTTTTTTTCCCCCAAAAAAAATCGGACCCATTTATTTCATGAGGTTTTTCGTTTACGTTGAACCGAGTTTATAACGGCTGTAACGTGTCTAATTTTTTTTTAAGTTAGCAACTGTGCTCTGACACCTTATTAAGATCTTTGACCAATCGAAACAGTTGGCAGATTAAAATATCTTTTCTAGACGTCAACAAGACAAGAGTCCCAAATGGGAAGCAATGCGCCTGCTAGAAATTCTTGGCTAAATTAATGCGTGGTTTTAATTAGTTTCAGTCCCGTTGCGGTGAGAAATTGCTGGCGGAAGACACGTATCTCATTTAACTCGGTAACACGTAGTGCGTCGCGACTCACACAGGTAGGTGCTCCGTCGGGACGCCGTTTTGAGAAGACGTCGGAGTTTCAAGTTGGAAATCTTCTAGCGTTTAAAAAAAATTAGAAGGCTCTAAGTTTCAAAAAGAATTCTAAACATAACGAGCACGTGATTTCTGTTTGCGTTCCAATTTTATAGAAAATTTTTTCTAACGTTTCAAAAATGGCTAAAAAATTCAAATAGTAAAAAATGAAAAAAAAATTCTTTAATTGTCGTTTGTCGTACCTACAATGGGATACATTAACGTGAATAGTATCAAAATATTATTTAAGAGGGCAAACAAAATTTTTTGAGGGGTAACCACGATTTACTTGAAAAAAAGATTTTTCGTTATTAAACCTTATATATATAAATGACACCTCGTATATAACACGGGTGGGCCAAAGAGAACCAGATGAAAATCCTTGAGGCGCCATTTACATCGATATGAATAATACAAAGTGCTCTTGCGACAGGGTGCGCCATTCCACGGATTAATTACTCTCGGTTCTGGAGCGTAAAATTGCACGGCAAGACAGTATCCGCGACAAGTTTCTATAAGGAATCGTTTAAGCAAAGTTTCCCGGAGCGTCGCGACGCGATCGAAGGCGTCTTCCGAACTGGTTGCCGAGTATACAAGGAGAAGATATAGCTAGTACCGAATAAAGCCGGAGGCTGTGAAAGGATGTACGTACAAAGGCATATTAAATTAAGAGAACAAAGCAAACAGTTGGCTGTACCGGTAGATTCCGAAAGAATAAAGTAAAATTTTCGAGTAAAAAGATAAAAAGATTTTAATAATAAAAAAAGAATTTGCAATAGCGAACTTCTGTAGGCCGATTCGAATTGGCTTCTGCGTTGCGCCGGGATTGCCAATCTGAATTCCCGCTATGTGTGAGCCAGCGTATTTTCAACAAGCGTAGATGCATAAGTGCGAATGTGGCAAAGTCTGCAACGTGTGAGAGTACGGCGGTGTAAAAGACGACAGGGAGTAGGCGGGGGTTTGGTTAGATGTTAAAAGGTGGACGAGAAGTGGGCGGAGAAGCCGAGTGGCGCGAACGTGTCTCGAATGATTCGTAATAATGCGTCGGGTTTGACAATAGTCTCGGCTGTGGAATGGTGTGCGAGGTTGCCGGTAGATGGCGCTGCGGACGCCAGCTGATGGCACGTGACGGCAGCTGATGGTGCTGCTTGGCGAATGGTATCGACATGTCGCATCGAAACGACAACGACGTCTTGGATTTTGATTTGGTGGGTTGAACGAAGAGACGAAGCTGCCTGCTGAGAAAAATAGAAGAATGGAAGACAGTCGTATCGATGGCTCTCGTGTACTACGTAGTGGTTTATACAACAGACAGTTGATTGGCGTGCCGACTTCGTTACGCGTGTGCGTTCGTAATGATAAGAGTGGCTTATAGCTTTCTTGAAAATCACCAACCGACCAAGGACGGCGGTTAGGACATCCTGTGGCAAATAAAATAATAAAAAAAAAGTACAGGAAATATCCCTTCGAGTGCGAGATAGTCTGATTTATGGCGCAAATAGCAGAGGTTATCCGGCGCCGTTGGAAATTCAGTGATTCATTGGTGCTCGCGAAAAGCCCTGGTGCGGTGCCTCGTTTATGGCACGATAGTGTAAGGGCAGTCGCGACGTCGGACGCCTACGCAAAACTTGACATTGCGGGAGGAGCGTGTCTCTGAGTTAGATTTTAGGAAGTGGTGAGAGAGACAGAGAGAGAGAGAGAGAGAGAGAGAGAGAGAGAGAGAGAGAGAGAGAGAGAGAGAGAGAGAGAGAGAGAGAGAGAGAGAGAGAGAGAGTGAGAAAGAGAATAGGGGGACTGGTTGGTTAACTGCGAGTGGAAGGGGGACGGAGTCGTAAATGAAGAAAAACAAAGAATCGGATGAAAAGGAAGTAAAGAATGGTGGACGGGAGAGAAGCTACTCGGGTGAGTTAGTGGGTTAGCTTTACTATGGGGGATTTTAAGGAAGTTCCTTAACGTATATACCGGGTAGTGGCTGCACCGGACCAAGACTCGGCTGTGACTCTATCGGTTCGATAAATTAGTTCACTGGTTAGGGGAAAGTGAAAAACCTTTCCCGTTCAAAGACGTGGTAAACTTGCTGAAAAATTTGTATGCAACCGGTGCTTTCCTCCTTCTCCTTGTAACAATCCTCCGGCTTTGTTTTCTGTCTATACCTTACTCTCTCTCTCACTCTCGGCTTTTTCCTTTCTTATTACCAGTCCTGAACGTTTTTCTTCTCACAAACTTCCTGTCGAACCAACACTTGTCCTCTCCGTCCTCTTTGGCTTTTCCTCTATCAGATTCAAGGTGAGACGCGGACTTATTTTTCTTTTTTCTTTTATATCTTACGTTCTTCTCGATTTTCTTACTCTTTTAACCCCCGCCAATACTATTGTTGTCTGTATTGTTGCCTCTTATCACTGGTACTACCACTCTTGCGCGATTACTCCTGATTCCGTTGCCTCGATTCTTTTTACTTTTTTTTTCTTTTTCTTTAGCTTTTCTCTTGTACTTTTTAGAAAGTAGCGGAGCAGGGCTGATTGTGACTGAGCTTTTTTCATTGCACTACCGTGTTAACTTGCTTCGCTTAATTCGAGACGGTTCGAAGGCTAGGAGGAGGGGGGTGAAAAAAGGAAGAGAAAAGATAGCGAAAGAAAACTTAAGGCGGCGGGATAACATCGATGCTTCCGCCGCATTGTCATCCCACGAGATGGTGAATCCTCAGGAGTTACGAGAACTTCCGTTCTACCAACTTCCTCCTGGGCACTGATGATTTCCGCGTGCGATTATATAAGGGACGCCTAGCGTCGCGACGCTTTACACAATAACGAACCTGTTTTCCGCGCAATCTCATTTTATTCTGTTCTTATCTTTCTAATTGATGAATTTTTAAAAAATATATTTGATTATGATTTCGGTATATAGATTTTTTTGAATTCTGAAATTATTTACTTCCATTGCTCAGTCTCCTGATAAATGTTCCATCGTTTGATTACGCTACAAATTATTTTTCTTATTTTTCTTCAGCCGCAATTTAATCCGACAGTTCATCTTTTATGGATCTTCCCGACAGATTGCGTTGCTGTGCAAAAATATAATGCCATTAAAAGATAAAGAAAAATTAAACAGACGCCACGGGCGAAGCAATATCGAATTTCGTGATATTAAATCGTCCCGAAAGATTTGCCAGGTTCGATAGGAATTTATTAGGTGGAGAGGAGCATAATTCCATAATTCTTAATTGGACAAGTCTTAATTGAAACTTGACATTGAAAAACGAGGCGACACGTTTCCTCGTTCAAATTCGCTCTCGACCTTCGATTGTGATAAAAAAGAATTACGAGGACGGTAATTTAATATTGAAGCGAGAAAAAGGAAAAAGAAATGAAAAGATATGGATGAGACATGCAAACCTTATCAGCGATAATCAAGTTACACCATATCTTACGGGCTTTAAAACTTTCTTTCTTTCTTCTTTGAAAGTCACAAGAAACGAAATAATACATTTTTCCTCGCATTGACGGAATATTTATTCCCTCAAGGCGCAATGCATTTTGATTCTTTATTCCGTCCCCACTGGGACGCAATTGCAGGCGGCTACGGCCTCGTTTCCAACAAAGCCAAAGTGTATAGCAGCAGCTTCGCCGTCCGCTCGGACTACATATTTGTACGTTGGTATTGTGAATCCGAGCAAATAAGGGTGGTGAACAAAGCCTAAGGGGTTATCCGTTTTCATCGTAAAGCGTCCGCGCAAACGCTGCGCGTTGTCGCCGTCGAAAGGGTTGCGGCCGGTGGATCCGTATTATCGTTAATATCCTGTGGTAATATGAGAACGCAAAGTACGGTTTTACCCGGCGACACGCCTGATAGCACACCCCTTTCAGATTTACTTCCTTTATGTTTCTACCTATGATTTTTCCCTCGGGATTTTCACTGCCCAGTCTGCACAATGATTTGTCATACGTATTTATATACAAATTCCAAATGAGAATTGTCAAACATTTTTAACAGCTGACTTCATTGATAGAGGATATAATATTTTTTTTGGCATTGCTATTCTTTAAGGTTCTGGTGTACGCCGGAAATTGCATGATCAGCATTTGAAATTTATTCGCGATATAAAAATATTCTACGTACGTGACGTTCGAGATACTCTCGTTTCCAGGATTCAATAGGAGATCGAACGTACCGTACGCGAACGGTATTTGAATTTCCCGCCAATCTACAAGGGTACAAGATTGCTCAGCTAATTGTTCATTCGTATTCGGCTTGCATGTCGCGGGTTTAAAGATTGCCGCGGGTGAACGGTGTTAAGTTTTTCTTTTAATTTCCTCCCACGTTTCCAAAATGTCTTCGAGGGGAAGCACAGGGGTTCTTAAAGTGTATTTTTTTGTTCATTCCTCGTTGAGAATCTTGAGAATTTTACGTGATGAGGATTTCGCAGTATTTTGCCAGACCAATAAAATAATCATAACCATTGGCTCAAGACTCGGAGCCACCGTTTCCACGAACTCCCTGGAATTATTTCTTATTTGCATCAACGACTCAGGTGGATGTTCGCCATTGGCGCAGGACGTGTAAAATGCAAATCTTATGCGTGGCTTCTTCAGACTCGACGTGAACTTCTCGCCGACTTCTTATTTTCCGGTATTCACTTCCGCTGTGGCATTTTTTAGGATTTTTTTTTTTTATTATCTCGTTTCCCTTGGAATACGGAAAAGTCAACGTGATGTCTGCGCTTTGTTTGTCAAAAATGATTGTAGGCATTTTTGCTTTATTTTTTGTTTTCTTTCAACGGCGCAGATTAGACTGTTGGTATCGAAAGAAAAAGATTTTTTTTCTAAAATTCTAACTTAAATGGAAATCGTGAAATTTTCGAACGGCAAATCGCAAAGCTTTGTCCTTCTTGTAAACTCACCTGTATGACTCGTGTCTTGTTAAGAATTTTATGTCCCGAAGGTTGAAAACGTTCCATGTCCATGAGGATTCCGCGAACTCCGAGATCGTCAGCATCGACCAATCGGAAGGCAGTGATGTTCACGAAATTATATTTGAAGTCCTCGAGGTCAAAGGTTTCTATATCCTAAGAGATAAAATTTAAAAAAAAATGTAGATAAGTCTAAGAACCATAAACAAATATTTACACTAGATCTTTGACGTCTGACCAAAGTCAGAAACAAGAGAGTAAGCAATTAATGAAATACTCACAAAAGTGGTGAAGAGGTAGTGATACTTGTAGTCATTCATCTGAAGCTGAAGAATCTAAAAATTGCAAAAATTAAAAACAAAAAAAAACATACCAAATCCAAAAATTTCATTTCAACAGCATATTGACCCTACCGTACGTAAAAAGTGATGCATGTGCTTGGTTTTCGTGTCGACAATTAAATTTCTGATCTCCTTCATTTTTATTTCAGACAAAACCTGCCTGTAAGAATCGGGATCAGCCTGTCTCAGATGAACCTCGATGTCCCGTGTCCTTGGAGATCTGACCAGCTCACGAAGTTTGACCAAACCTGTTGAAACAAATTTTTTGTTACATGTAACTTTATTTTTTTTTTCAAATTTCTCACGTCAAATACCATCCACTCCACATTCGACTCATCGGCAGGTAGAGTGACTCGTTTCGCTAGTTAAATGGACGGAAACCTGTAAATCGCGACAGCCGATGAAATCAATACTGGCACGCGTCTAAGTAATCAAGGTATCATCTCAACTTGTGGGTCTTCGCCGAGGTTCGCCGGTTCGTTCCCCTCCAAGTTTACGCGAAACTCCAAGAGACAGGGTTGAATAAACCCTGGGGTTAGGGGGTGGTCGGGCAGGGCCAGATAGTGAGTCCACCAAGTGAAATCAGTTTGAGTTGACTCGAGTCAACTTGAATTGCGTAAATAAAGACTCGTGGTGGTTTTATCGCTTTGATGGAAATTCAGCGAAATGATGCTGGGATCGGTATACGAGGACGAGCCAGGAGGAAAGAGTTGTTTACTGTGTGTATGTAAAATATACCAGACCCGTTATATACATGACTATCCTTCCCCCTTTATACGGATAAGTTTACTATGTTAATTTAACAAATTTTTATTTACATCAGCAAAGTTACGCGAGTCATGAGTTTTTTTGGATATACGTGAATAATTCAATATGGCGCTTGATTTCGTTTGGATTCATTTTTTTAACTGTGGAGCAGTTGGTACTGCCGTGAATGGCTGCTGATGAGGACTCGACAAACTCGCTGATAAATCAATGAAGGACCAGGCAGGATGTTCGAAATATGTGGAAGCTCCGCGACCAAGAAGTGCCCCAGGATAATGGACCGAATGAGCTGCGATTTTGGAAGAAAAAAAAGAACACTGTCAAGGACCAGGGGTAATTTCTCCAGGGAGAAAAAGTGTGCCGTATAGGTGGTCCTGAGGCGGAGAAAGAAAAACAAGAGACTGGAGGAGCGAAAGCAGAAATAGAAAAGAGACGGGAGAAGATTGAAGCGATTGAGATGGTTGGTGAATTATACCAGAAAATTGAAGAAAAAATTTTGTTATTTAAAAAATTCGTCAATTAATTTTCTTAAGCTTCAATTCCAACTACTATATGAATGAGCGTTTGATATCTAGTTCATCCATGGTATTTTTTTTCATCCCTCATAACGGGGTCGCTCCATTTTTATAGTACCAAGGATATTAATGGAGCTCCTTGAGGATCGGACATTTCCCACGGGAGGGCGCTGGCTTTTCTGGGAAGAGTCCTGGCAAATCAGGATAACGATACCGTAAAGGATCTCAGAATGGAGAGAATCGTAAAGTTCTGCGGTTGGTAATCGAGAGAGCATTGATGTGGCCATTTTTTGCCCTTTCCGCCTTTTTTTTCCCTTCCTTTCTCCCTCTCTTTTCCTTTCATCCCTCATACAAGTCTTCGTAAAACTCCTCCGAGCCCAGGACGGGGATGGTGCCTCTTTACGATTACGATTACCGTACGCAATATCGCGGCGTTAACTTTATTTACGAGGGGTAATTGAAGCCCTCGCAATGTTTTATTATTCCGTCCCCCCCCCCCAATGAGGCGGTGGAGAGGAGGGGTTGGCGGGAACCAAGCTGCGAGCAAAATTGCGCACGGATACGGAGATGCCCTCCTGGCCGTTAAGTCGCCTGTCTTTTTTCGCAGCCTCCGTAAGAATTGGTACTCGGATCCGGGAGGGGATGAAAACTTTAGGAGATTGTCCCTCGGGAATAAGCGATGTAAGGGTGGCGATGAAAATCTAGAGGATCGGATTTAGGCTGGTTCGCGTTGATTTAAGTTTTAAAATGCCGTCTTATCCCATCTCGGGCGTAGCCAGGGATGCTGGGAGGGATGAGATCCTGGGCGACGGACAAATCGAAAATTTTAATACGGACGAGCAAAGGGATGAAAATAGAAATGGACGGTACACGCAAGTGCGAAATGAATTTTGGTATCTTGGCAACCCGTAAGATTGGCTCTTGCCAATGAGAACCGCACGGCAATAAATTGGCAAAGGGAACCGATCTTGCGATAAGAATTATTATCCTTCGTTGATATGTTTATGCGAAATTACGATCGTATTGTTATTCACCTGTTAGACAAATTGGATAAATTAAATTTTTATATCCGTGTCTGTGTAGCAGTTCTTAAGTAGACATATACCTGTGTAACATTCAACTGGGTAAATAAAATAATTTTGAAAATAAAAGGGTGTACCAGGAAATGGTTGAGAATTGAATTGGAGATGAATGAGAGATCTTGTAAATGGGGGGTGTGTTCGGCGAACATAGGGGTAGATTCTTGTTCTGTCACTCTCCTCCTTATTGGCTAGGTACAAATTGAATTTACTATTGCGTTTTGGCATTCCATTGTTAAGCCAGCCGTTCGCACACGGCTCCTGTATTACACTTGTGGAGTCCCTGTCGAAGGACGACGACGACGACGACGACGTTCCTGAAGCTGCCGCAGGATTCCTTAGCGCTTCGAGTCAGGATCCTGGCTGAATTCGTATCACTATACGTCCTGCGAATCGTCAATGAACTTCGTCTCTCCATTTACCGACTATTGTAGGATTCCGCACGTTTTTTTATTCCTTCGACTATTCGACGACAAATGCGTTCCGGGCGGAATCGGACTCGGAAGGACAATGGCCTTGATGGACCAAGGACCAAGACTCGAGAATTCCAAGTTCTGACAATTTCAAGGACCAGGAGATAGGAAGTCCTGTTATCCGGACTACTGCAGACGGCGAGGAAAGATTTTCAGGACTGGAGTAACGAAAGGATTCGTTTGAAGATTCCTCAGGATCCTGGATACCGTTTTCTTTTAGCTTCCATGTACTTTTCTTCTTTTCCGACTCGAGCACGAGACAAAAAAATGAAGGGACGACATCCCACGAGGAGGATCCTCCACGGACAATCGAGCAATTAATTTTTTTTCCTTTGGGACATTTTTTCCGAATTCCATAAATACTCCAATTTAATCGAAGATTCCTCAGATTTTTCACGAGGTCCTAAACCCTTCCTGGATACCGATCAGGGCGGATCCGCTTCTTAATTTTTAATTCTTTATTCCATAAGGTTCGATTCAAGAATTCAGCCCCCTCATCGGTTCGTCCTATCTAAACGGGCGAGCAGGGCCCAAACCCAAACTGGTAAGACGTGCCAGTAGATACAGCCACTAAGGAATCAGACTTAAAGCAGATAATGCCAAATGTACGAAATCCTGCAGGATCGTCCCTCTGGATAATAATTTAATCAGCCATGAGCATAAAAAAAAACGTCACTAATATTCGCTCTAACGTATGATAACCCATATTCCAACAGTCGACGAAATTATCGAGTGAAATAGGAAAAGGCGTGAGGAAAGTGAAAAACAGGGGATTCGAGTAAATCTGTAGGATCGTACGAAACGCTAACGTCCTAATCGTCGAAAGCTGCTTCGACGAGTAGATAAGCTCGAGGGTGGTTCCAGGGTTTGAACGGCTGCTGATATGTGGGAATTGGGGTAGTTCTAAAGGGATGAGTGGAACAAGGAATAAAGGAATCCGGAGAAGGAGGCGAATGGGATAGTATAGTCGCAGGGTGGGAAAGGATTCGGGAGTAGGAAGGATCAGGAGGAAACGATTCAGGATTCGGACATTTCACTTGGCAATTTTACTCCCACCGTGTATATAGGGGTAGGTGTGTACCTGGACCATAATATTGGAACACATTCTTTACATTTTCCTTGGATTTTCCTCTTCGCTCCGTGACGTCTCCGTATACGTATGATTTTTTTTGCCTCTAATCCAAATGGACCACCAAACTGTCAGGTTAAATGGAAAAAACCTTATCACCATAGAAACGGCCCATAAACGCTGATTAATTGTCCACCATTACATAGTTCACTGGGAACATTATACGGCTGATTATGGGACGTACCGCATTACCCTTCATAGTGATTGATGATAAACATCATGCTGGACCTACGTAAGTCACGTAATACTTGAACCGTCCTACGGTGAGGAACATCTGAAAATTATATTACTGTGCTATACGAAACTTATATTTTCCTTATATGGTCATTTTAGGTCATCGTAGGTAGATTATTAAATTAAAATTAATACCTAAGCATCGGGGACTTTGATTGATCGCAAATTGATCGCGACGCTCTTTAACAATGACAATGGAGATAAAAGCGTAGCGTCGAGACCGAAGAAAATTTGAGAAGTGAAAAAATGCTGAATTTTCAAGTTTTTCAAATTAAAAAAAAATACTCACCGTAGTCGTCCTCGTAGATGATGGCCACCTTGGTCCAGTTGAGAAACACCATGACGTCCTGATAAGCGGTATTGAGCAGTGTTTGTGCGGGGTGCAGATTGATACTGAACTCCTTGGCTTCCGCATCCAGGTCCAGCCTGGCTTCCAGGTGCGGAATGTCCAGGGCATCGCAGATGCTGTGTATGTGCTGGCCCAATATTGGGTCCGAGGGCCCAAAGACTGCCAGCACGCCGAATTTGACCTGTTGGCAGGCTGCAATTGACAATTATTACTAAACCTACTGTATTGGAGAAATTACCAATAAAAATAATAACAATCATAATATTATCCCATTGACCACCCTCTAGTATTCCGCCTCATATCTATATATTATTCCATCGAATTGAGTAATCGAGAAATTTATCACTATAATTTATAAAGCCCATTCCAGTGAATCAAGCTCAAAATTCCATTTCACCGACATCCGAAAATTTGGCCGTTCGCTTTGTTCGCTGAGGTATTAAAAATTTATTGATCACAGGTATCGACTATTCTTTATAGTCGGCAAGTAGTCTTAGTGCGCATCTAGTCAGACAGCTTTAATAGTAGCACGTCAGTGGTCTCCATTGTTCATGTTCGATAAAGGGTTAACGATGATGAGGACAAATTATGTGTTGTATGTTGCATGGTAATCGGAGGGTGAACTACCCCTGGTACCTGACGGCAGTATTCGAGGTAATAACTTTTAAGGGTGGAACGCCAGCAAAGAGCAGCGATTCCAGTCGGAGCTAGTCGCGTCCCCCTGATATCACGTAACTTTTCAAGGGTTGCTCCTGTGTCCGTATGTGGGATCTAAAATTCTATATACACGCATGAGACAAGGGGTGGGTTGCTGGAGGGTGAAAGGGCACACTGAGAGAGAAAGATGGGACACGTGTGTATATGTATTTAAAGGGGGTGGTTGGCCGCGTGTCTCTCGTCGGGGTTATCTTCCACTAGTTCTAAGGGTTGTTATGGTCGACCAGGGGCCTATATACAACTCTGTAACCAACCCCGGTATTCTACCAAGTTAAGTGCTCACCCTGTCTGCACAGCCCCTGGATCTCCTCCCTCGCATCCTCCAACTCCCTCTGACCCATAGCCTACGTCCGCTGACTCTGTCCACTAGGTATTCATCATCGAAGTTTGCTGTTCTGTCGTCACGCTGTGTTTACGGACTTCCGAGAGATAGATTATTTTTTTGGGGGAAAAAAAAAACATTCGTAACCCTCGCCAAATTTATTTGAAATTTATAAATTCCGGCTTTTTATTATGCTCCTCGTATGATGCCTCGGGATTGTATTTTACGAGTAAATCTCATAATAAATCAGAATCCCAAACGGGTCGTCGGAGTCCATTTTGTTCCCGGCGCGTGTTTGGTATTTCATTTATTTTTTAATATCCGCTCCTTCCTCATCCTCGTTTCTTACAACCCTGCTATTTCTGGGGACCCTAGGATCTCTAATATACTCCGTCTAACATTTTCGAGCCTTGAAAAATTTCAAATTCGTCCGATGCCATACGACCGTAATTCTGCTTCTTTGATAATGACCCACTATGTATGTATGTATGGAGGTACAGGTATCAATGCGATACAGGGATATTGTTTGACCTTTGACCTAACGAATTTCAAAATTGTACAATCTTGTTTTATTTACTTTTGTACCATCCTCTGATGTGGTACTGGTCGGAAACACCGAGATTTTAGGATCTTTCGTGCACTAGCGGAAAATACCTTGTAATTTCGTATATCTAGCAGAAAATAGAAACTGAACGTCCAACATTTCTCTCCCCATTTCGCTTTTCCGTCTAGCTGAAAACTAATAATGCTGCTTTCTATGGGGCAAACAAACACGGCCATTTCGACGTTATACGTCGCTTTTAGCGGACGGTGCTTTTAGACGACGACTGGAAATGCGAACTGCCAATCAACGAGTAGGTTTCCCAGTCGTAATCCTCAGTGACGTACACGATACCGATTAGTATGCCCGAGTTCTGGATTAGCTGGACTTTGTTTCGGTAAATAAATTCCATTTTGGTTTATTGCCTTTGGCCGCCTTCCGTTCCGGAAATCCCTAATAATTACTGGCAATCTGGTCGCCGAGACAGGCTCAGGGAACAAATCGATTCGTCGAGCAAGAAATCTTAGGGTACCGGATACGGTCCATTGGGGTCACGCACCTTTCCAATACACAATACATGTATCGATAGGTCGCACAGTTTAATCTCAGACAGAGAGAAGGGTCAAGGATCGACCTGGACCGTATTGGAAGTGGACCGAGGACAGTTTTACTGCTTGAGAAATCAAGAAAAAAATTTCAATGGTTTGAGATAAAAAAAAAGGTCAAATCTTAAAGTCGCCCTATAATTTTTGGAGGCAGAATTCCAGAGGTCAACTAACCAGAAGTGGTTCTATAGACGAGAGTAAATCTTGACTTCGGGTTAGTCGACGTTCTCGGATTCTCATAGATACGAATCTTCAGGGATTTTCTAAAGTTTTATTCAAAATTGAACAAAAACAAAAAAAAAATTCAAAAATTCCACATCGTGAAAAAAAGTCCAAAAAAATTCCACTGGCTCCTGGAATTCTGTCAGAGAACGCCGACACTTATTTATCGTCTCCTGACAAATGGAGCCCCCCCCCCCCCCC